AAAAATGATCATGTCAATACTCAATACACGCGACGATTATATATTTACGTACAAATAGGTGAGGAATCAAATTGCTGAGATTGCCGAGTCTATCACAAGATTATTATGCCTTTATGGCTCTGAACGAATCTATTACGTTTGGGAAAGAGTGTGCGGACGGTTACAACTCGGCGTTAAATACATGACGTGATACAAATGTATTTTGGGATCTAAATGATTACATCTCTTCACATGCAAATGCAATACAAGTTCTTTTAAATTTGGTGGGCAATACAAGTTCTTTTAAATTTGGTGGGAGATAAGGCCATCTCCATTAGTTAGAATCTCTTAAGAGTTGTTAACTTTATTTTTAATATAAATTTTGCATATTCAAAATTGAAAATCCCATTAGAATTTTTTAATTTTGTTCTCCTCTATTGGTTAGAACCCCTAAAAAGTTCTAAAGAATAAAAAATGAATTTTGCATTATCCAAAACTGAGATCACTTGAATATAATTCTCTTTGAGATTGAACAAATCCTTGTTACTATTATCAAAGTTTCTCTGGATCATGAATGTATGAAATATTCAAGAAAAGTCTCATTGAAAGCATAAGTAATCAAGTAAATCACTGAAAGTTCTTATCACCTTGCAGTCTTTAAGGTCAATTTCTACATCCAGTAACCTCTCTTTCTCAGTCACGTAAAGGTCACGGTACTTGGAAACTTCCTGCATAAGAGAAGCCACTTAAGTTCCAACAAAAAAAATAGTTTCGTTGCTAAGATCTGGAAGAGAAAAGGTGAGGCATACTTACACTTTCAGTGAGATTTAAATCATTCTCCAACTGTTCTATCCTCTCAATTCTCGCCTGAAACAAAACAATCATTAAACCGAGCATGAAATGAATATAGGCCTAAGTAGTTTCTTTCTTTGAACCTACTAAGCAGCTAGCTCATTTGATCATATACATAAGAAAGCGAGAGAATATAGACAGAATGTTATCCGTTGTTGATACGTGAGTTCGACAATACATTTATTAAACAGTAAAGAGGCTCAGAAATCTTCGTTTATTGATATTATGCTCGAAAACGGATTACAAGCAACACAAACAGAATAAAAAATGTAAAGGATGTTGAGCTCGGAAGCTTATAAGCTGACGAACTTTGTGTAAATGAACTGACTGTATAACGAGCACGTGGGGTCGGGAACTAAGTAGTAAGCAAATATCCTGAGATCAGAACTGATTGATATGTATTATGAGGTCGGACCTGGGTGAGAGGTGTTCTGGGATCGATGATACGCGTATGTAAAAATCACTTTATCTGATAAATTCTTGTACGATTCCGGCGGAATGTACAAACAGAACTCTTTCTCTCTTAGATTAGTTAGAGTCCAGAAAACAGTTAGTTCTCTAGTCCCTTGTACTACTCCAAAAGAGGAAAAGTGATGTGAAAACTCAAGGAGAAGGGTCCCCTTTTTATACTAGAATGAGGAAGTACACTTATATAGGGTTTTCTTGGAATGTGAGCTAGGCCTTTAATTTTGCCGGGCCGAGCTCGGCGAGATGGGCTTTATAATTTGTCAATTATAAGGCCCATGCCCACCAGTAGCCCCTCTCAGTCGACGAGCGCGTTGGTTGGTGGGTTCGTCGATGTGGTTCGGAGGCCCATCATCTGCTCGCTTCTGATTGGCTCTTTTGAAACGGTGCACGAATCTCAAGAGGCGACCTTCTGTCTTCTGAGCTAGGTCTATTTAAGTGAGATTCGGACTTCGATTTCCTCTATTCGCTTTCTCGATCTCTCCGGACAAAGATAATCTTCTCTCTAACCTCTCTCTAGATCTTTCTCGATTTTTCTGCTCAGCTTCGTATTTCCCAGCAAGATCTTCAGGTTCTCTTGGTCGATTCTTCTTTTCTTCTAAGTCCGTTTTCTGGGTTTTTCGACTGTCTCTTCATTATGTCTTCTAATTCGAACGATCGTGAAGAGTCTGACTCGGCTAACTCTGGCAATTCTCCGAGTCTCGAGTATTCTCCTCCGTAGGGCACTGAATCCCCTGAGGCTTCTTCTTCTGACCATCAGCCGCTGATTTAGAAGAATCAGCAAGATCCGATCGCTAACCAGGGCGGGATTGCTTCAAACTCGGATCAACCTCCTTTGACAAGCTCCCGTGCTGTG